GCCTCTCCCCCACTGGTGCACCCACCATCAGCTTCCTAATGCACTGTCCATTCCATGCTCCCCTCCCCCACAACCCTCCCATATGGGGGCCCTCAGAAAATGTCACGCCCTTCTGTCGCCTGGGGCCACACCTGATCACACGGCAGTGGCCCTTACATGCCTACAACATGCGCTCCTCATGTCACTTACCGTCATTGGCACGGAGCACACCATGAAGATGATGGTCATCAGCACCAACAGGATGAGATGCTCCAGCTCCTCTTCTCCAGCCCCGAGGAACCATCCCCGAGCTCCGCCCCTGCGCAGTGACCCTCTCCGCGCCCTCTGACCTTTCCTCATGCGGCACAGGCTGGCAGTCACAGAGGCGTTGCACACCAGGATGGCGAGGATCAGCAGTCCGGTCAAGGTGGCGTAAATCAGTGAGAACGCCAGTGCTCCCCCGTTCCCAGGCGTGGACGCCACCGCCATCCTGATGAAGCACCAGGTGCCCGGACAGTACTGCTTGTGTTGGCCGACGCCGACCAGCGGCAGGGCGCAGAGCACCGCCGTTAGAACATAGGAAGTCGGCAGCGCGGTCCTGGCCAGGCGGTGCCCCCAGCTGTGCCGGTTGTAGATATAGGGGTGGCTGATGGCGAGGCATCTCTCGAAGCCCATGAAGAACAGGATCATCATGGCCGCCAGGTTGAAGAAGGTCATGGCGAAGGCGAAGAGCTGGCACAGTGGTTGGGAGCCCAGCGCCAGGAGCGACGCCTGCTGGGCGTAGGACACGAAGACCACCGGGCTCAAGATGCAGGTGCCGAGGAGGTCGGTGACGGCGAGTCCGGTGACCAGGATGCAGAACGGGGAAGCCCGGGCCCTCCGCTCTCGTCGGTGGACCCCTAAGATGCCCAGGGCCAGCAGGTTTCCCAGGACGCCCATGGCGAACATCAGGGTGCTGATAGCCGGGTTGCCGTCCGCGTGGACCCGTGTGGAATTCTCGCAGTAGTGCTGCATGCCGGCAGGCAGAGGTGGGAGGGGGGTCACCATTGGACGGTGAGGGGTCCCCAAAAATCTCCCTCTGAAAATCTGTCCTCGTCCGTCTCTGCACCTTCCCTGCACCCCGTCCCTGCACCGTCCCTTCACCGTCTCTGCACCGTCCCTGCACCGTCCCTTCACCGTCTCTCCCCCGTCCCTGCACCGTCCCTTCACCGTCTCTGCACCGTCCCTGCACCGTCCCTTCACCGTCTCTGCACCGTCCCTGCACCGTCCCTTCACTGTCCCTTCACCGTCTCTGCACCCCGTCCCTGCACCGTCCCTTCACCGTCCCTTCACCGTCCCTTCACTGTCCCTTCACCGTCCCTTCACCGTCTCTGCACCGTCCCTGCACCCCGTCCCTGCACCGTCCCTTCACCGTCCCTTCAGCGTCTCTGCACCGTCCCTTCAGCGTCTCTGCACCGTCTCTTCACCGTCTCTGCACCGTCCCTTCCGCGTCTCTGCACCGTCTCTTCCCCGTCCCTGCACCCCTTCTCTGCAC